GAGGCCAATTATCCTTAACGTATTATAGTGTCGTATTCCTGATGTTTGTATTATTTTCCAGGGAATGCACTAACAGAACAACGGGTGCAGTGATTTCCTGAAAATGTTATCTGGTCACCGTTCATGGCTGTCTTGGCGCTACGACTATTGCAAGTGTGTGCCAAAGAGTGACATTCGCCCCTGGCCTTGTAAAGTGAATGGACGGATGTGTGCAATTTGATTGGTTGAAAAAACGTCGTTCAATTGGATCCTGGGACTCTTCTGGACCAATCACAGCATATGAATACGTTCCTTGATAAACATGTTTTTTCTCAATCCCCAGTTTTAACACATAGTGTCAGTTGACTTGGCGAAATAGTTACCTACCCATTTGATGGCGTCATCAATTGTATCACGACGTCATAGCATTGCCGCGTGACGTCATATCTGTCTTACAACTGTAAGTGTTCACGTGGAGAGATAGAGTACTGAGGAACGATAGGTGCATGTCTGACAACACAGAATGCATATCTCCTGGTCCTCTCAACGGGGGGTACAATCATAGAAGCATGTTTTGTAACGACAGTATAATGTGATGGTGCATGCGACGGCGTAATTATGGAGGCGTCATAATGCGAAATAGTGTAACATTACACGATAATAAGTACAACAACACAACGCGATAATGAGAAACAGTAACAACACCCTAAGGAGGCACTAACACAACACGATAAGGAGGCAGTAACACAACACGATAAGGAGTCAGTAACACAACACGATAAGGAGGCAGTAACACAACACGATAAGGAGGCACTAACACAACACGATAAGGAGGCAGTAACACAACACGATAAGGAGGCAGTAACACAACACGATAAGGAGGCAGTAACACAACACGATAAGGAGGCAGTAAGTAACACAAGACAGTGATCAGACAACTGAACGATGAACGAGTAACAAAACAGCAATGAAACATATCATTACACAACAATGGCACATATCAACATGACACAACACTGACACATACCAACATGACACATACCAACATGACACAACACTGACACATACCAACATGACACATACTAACATGACACAACAGTGACACATACCAGCATGACACAACACTTACACATGCCAGCATTGACACATACCAACATGACACAACACTGACACACACCAACGTGACACAACACGGACACATACCAACATGACACAACACTTACACATGCAAGCATTGACACATACCAACATTACACAACACTGACACATACCAACTTGACACATACCAACATGACACAACAGTGACACATACCAGCATTACACAACACTGACACTTGCCAACATGACACAACACTTACACTTGCCAGCATTAACACATACCAACATGACACAACACTGACACATACCAACTTGACACAACACTGACACATACTAACATGACACAACACTGACACATACTAACATGACACAACAGTGACACATACCAGCATGACACAACACTGACACTTGCCAACATGACACAATACGACACATACCAACATGACACAACACTGACATATACCAACATGACACAACACTGACACATACCAACATGACACAACACTGACACATACCAGCATGACACAACACGGACACATACCAACATGACACATACCAACTTGACACAACACTGACACATACCAACATGACACAACACTGACACATACTAACATGACACAACAGTGACACATACCAGCATGACACAACACTGACACTTGCCAACATGACACAACACCTACACATACCAACATGACACAACACTGACATATACCAACATGACACAACACTGACATCATCATGGCACCCATGACGCAACAATGAGCATTATCCAAATCAATCCCACTACCAACTAAACTACATTTGAGAACATCCGAATAATTATCTCCACCATCGAGTATGGCGACATAGCGACGTGCCTATAACATCACAGGCACATTCTTTAAGAGAAATCCAATTTACAACGTCCACTCATAAAAGAGAAGAGCCAGAAGTCCAAATACCAAAGGCTCAACACTGTGCCATTCCAATCACCTCCCCCTTGAAAACCTCTCGTGATGCGGACCACGGAAAGTCGACGGATCTTTTAATTACGTCCAGTTTGTTCATTTCCGAAGAGGACCGTCTTCCGTTTATTGATGCGTTTTTGATTACGACCAAACAGTGTCTTCCCGAGACGGAGCTATGCAACAATGGACCATGCAACCTTTCTCCATCTTTGAATTGCCCTGTTTAATTTGAAACTCGGTTAAATTGGTAAGCCACCTTCATTAGGTGAGTTCTGAGTGTGCGCCAGTCATATGACTTGTGGACGACGATTCCGCTACTCATAACTAAGAATGTGACAAACGAGCACAGGGGATAATAGCCTTTCGCATCGTGTCTGGAGACAAGTTTCTGTACTGCTTGATAGCTAATAAATCGCTTTTATATTAATTTGTTTTTTCGCAAGATGCGAAAGAAAAAAATGCATCTCTTTTCATGAATTGTTCAGAACTGTAATGAAAACAAATTACTTTTTTGTCAAATTAATATATCCGACATAATTACAAAAAAAATTACGGTCGCCCTTTTGTAATCATATAAATCTACTTTAATCATCTTTCATCACATTTTTATGACCTCATACTGTGACGTCATGATGACACAAATAACATAGGTACAATTTAATGCTTACAATGACTGTTTCTGCCTTCACTAGTGAGTGAGTGAGTGCTTTGTAAATATTGCAGCTATCCACTACGATACCGTGTGATCAATATCAGAACCAGTTCATCTTTAAATGCAAAGATATACTTTTTGTAAACGCCAAAGAGAAGCATATTGTTTCCATCGAATTTAATATTCACAATTGTTTCAATTCAAACACCACCAAGACGTTATTTAAGAGTCAACGGCCCTGTGTCAACAATTTACTAATTAACTGTTGTCCCAAGGTGGAGAGGTGAAAAATAAAATGTATATGTATCCTCCGTTGCTTCAATGATAACTAGGCAGTGTTGCTGTATTGATAACTAAATATAAAGATCCTTTTGTGAGTTCCACCTGCCAAGATAAATAACACAGTCGACCACACACACACACATGTGGCAGTTCAACCGTAATTAATGGCAGTTGGGTGTTCTCAAACACCGTTTCCCAAAAGGTTTCTCCCAGTGTTAACGAAATGTGCTGGAACAACGACACAGTGTTTCTTCTAATCCCTTTCTGTCGTTGGAGCCTTCACGCCTTGACATGGCAGATCCCATGCGCTGTATCCTGTGTTTATCAGTGTGAATTAGAGTGGGCTAAGTAAACGACCTTGTCTAACTCCATTGTCATCGACAGTTTTATTGCTGTCTCACTTCAATACTCTGATGATTCCAGAATAATACAGACAAGTCCCTTGCTCCACCTATGACGCTAACGTGGATGCGTGGCAGGCAAAGCTTCATATATAATGTAAAGGAAGATGTAGATGAAGAATATATGGCAACTAATCACCAATATATATTGTTCATCTTTTGGAAGTTTTTGTCATGCTGACAGCGTACGTTAAAACTAGATCAGGAACTAAATTGATCTATAAATGACAAGGAACAGTATTGTAACCATGTTGTAACTTCGAGATATTGAGACATTCGAGATAACGAGGCATGAACATTATATAGTAAGGCGGTAGGGACCGGAGAATAGGTTCGAGATATCGGTACGTTCGAGATAACGGTGTTCAAGGTGTACTTGAAATCGTGTATCTACAAGCAGTTCAACGCTCGATGAGCGAGTGAGTGAGTATGGTTTTACGTCATATATTCCAGCAATATCACGGCGGTGGACACCAGAAATGGGCTTTGCACATGTCGGGCATCGAACCAGGGTCTTCGGCGTGACGAGCGAACGCTTTAACCACCAGACTATCCGACCGCCCTAGCGCTAGATGAATTTAGATCAAAATGAATTATGTGTTCACAAATGAGATCTTTCAGAAACCTGTTATCGTGGGTTTAAATCCCAGAATCGCCCTGATTTTGTTTCTAAATCAGCACCTTAACATAATTGTCACATGGGTTTCGCCACGTGTTAAACGTCTAACACCTGGGCCCGTTCCAGCAAAGCGATCCTAGCGCTAAAGTAATCCTAACTCCAAAGCTTTGGCATGGACGACTGTCGCATCGCTGTGGTCGCTTTGTGGAACGGATCCCTGTTGGATTCCCTCAATATCAACAGACACAAATTGCAACATGTATATTTAACTTGATTCCCTGTCACTGCGACTCCTTTAAGAATGATATCTTTCAAATAATCTTTCCAAACGTAAAACAAAACAAACAACACTTCAAACGTTTTGAGGTTATGGCATGCGTTTATCCTATGTAGTGTTTTTTATGATGTAAATATTTTTAACGATATCTGGAATTATTCTAAAAAATCACCCACCCTCGAGTAGTCAACGGTTTGAAGGCTTTCATTGACACAAAGAGAACACCAGAAATATAACCATGCACTTTTAATATTCTGTCACTCTAAAGAACAACTAATCCGACCAACTCTCGTTATCAGTGTAGACTTTATAAAAGAGCAGTTGCAATAAACTGTAACAATATGCATGCAGTTAACATGCTGGGAAGATAAATCAATTAGGGAAATGAAAGCATGTTTTTTATGACCTAAATCTCTATAACACAGCCCATATATCAAAGCACCTTATCGCACAGATGACAGGAATATCGATAAGTCGCCTCGCTAAATATGGACAGTCTTTGTTTATATAGAGATTGACCCTGGTTCATTCGCGATCGAAAACCATTCACTTACCAAGCGCACATTTTGTACTAGCGTTAATAGTGGAAAAATCTTTTCCAGACGCGCCCCCTCACAGAAACCCAGTTTGGGTCATTGAATGTTGTAAGCGGTATGGACGAGCAAAACGTTGAATGCTTTGAATGGCTCTAAATCGAGGCACATTTATACACCGGTTTGGAAATTGAAAATAAAGATGTACTTACCGTTCTTAAAGTCCTTACGGGAAACATCCGCTTTTCAAATTCTTTTCTGAAATAATAAAAGTGATTTTGAATTTTTGTGCAGATCTATAACAAGCAGCTTTGAACTTGATTCGTGTGTCCATGTCAATACGTGGATATAAAAAAAAGCCTTTATTGTCTTTTGTCATGATTGTGTGGATCGGCTGGTCAGCAAGAAGGAATTAAAAAAAGGTGATTGGATGTCAACAAGGGAGTTGGTTACGCTTGTTGGTGATGGGCAATGTAGGTGTCCATATGGCAATAGGGCGATCATTAAAAGGGGTTAAATTGGGAAGGGATTATATTGTAACAAAAGAAGATTATCTCTAAGAGAGATTAACATGGTGGTCATGTGGTCATTAAGAGATTAGGTGCCTCACTCTGACAGTGTGGTATGAATCCCGGATGACTCAGCCCAAACAAGTACTAGAATCTGTACTTTACCAAGAAAGTGTCATCCCAACTATAACATTTATTACATTAAGAGAGGGCGTTCGGTTGGCGAATGATTGCGCAAAGTGACCGGATGTTCCGTAAGAGTGACCATGATGATATTACATCAAATAATAGAAACGGACATTGGTATCGGATGTCCGGCAAGGCGAGAAGCCTCTTTACTTGGCGCTCCCGCTATCGCCCACTGGCCAAGGCTCGATTTCACGTTGCAGGCAATAGTGAATTGCTTAATATCTGTTCCGCCGGGGAATACTCACTGCAAATACAGAGTACGTCATTGGTTAGGCAGCTGTGACCATGTCAATATGAGCTAACAGAATGTACGCACGTAATTATCAGGTAAACCGGTTTTACTGTCTGGCGCCGGTGACGCCCGTGTGGGACCCGGGTTTGAATCGGTCCCCAGCAGCCTATCCTGGTCGTTTAGTCATCTTTGTGGATGGGGTGGTCAGGCTCAGTGACTGAGTGTCATCACACCCAGATAAATGTAGATCGTAGATCGATGCTCATGATGTCAATCACTGGACTATCTGGGCCAGACTCGATTATTTACAAACCGCCGTCATAGTTATAATTAGAATGTTGCTCAGTGCGGCCTTTAACAACAAACAAACAAACAAACTGTATGTTAAGATTACCGATTGAGTTAAAACGTTTGACAACAATTACCTCTAAGATTGCTGATTGCTGACAAGATCGGGGTACCTTACGCCATCATCGTTAAGTACGAAGGTTCAAAGATGGTTTTGATGTCATTATCTAACACGATCTGACTTTACGAGTGTTTCGCGTTCCGATGTTTTAGTTTACCGAGAAACATATGCATCCACACCTTGACCAGGTGCATGAAATTCATGAAAACCTTTCATAGAAATTCCATCGAACTTACGACAAGATTTATTTCCCGAACATGTGCAATCCACATGGTGTTATGTACACCACATGGTGGAAATATTTCCCAGTATGTCTTTCATCGACGAAGTGGAGCGATTCCCTTTAATCGTTAGCACGCGAGCTGGTAGTGCCTGTATTGACGTAGAGAATTAATACGCTACGATATTCCTTCTCAACGTTTACCTGCTGATTTAGCAAGACTTAATCAGGAATAGTTCTTGATTAGTACAATTGGCTTTCGCCATGCTTGATTACAGATAATGTTACTTCTTACAGGAATGGACGCGATGAACTGATTTGATGAACACCATGTGCTTATTTTCGAAACGTTCATAAAGTCCTTCACGAATAACATAAAATTTCCATCAGATCTGTTGATACGGTCAGTCTAACGGTATTATAAAATAACTGTGTAATGCCCGTAATAAAATCTTAACGTGCCACTTTCAGAGAAACATAAAGTTGTCAGTTTCACCATTGAGATGATTGGCATGTTTATTGATTGAAGACTTAAAACAAGAGGTTAGATAGTTAATCCATTAAATCCAATTAAAGTGAGTGAGTGATAATACTATCATGGCGATGGGGAACATCAAGGGTGGCTTTCCCATGCATACTGACGACAGTTTGCTGTCGCTATGGCTAATTATTGCAGTAAACAACGATGCAGATCTGCAGAAACGATGGGTTATAGCTGAAGCAAAGCTTGTTATAGAATCTGTTGCAATAATGGCAATAGGTTGTTGCATGTGGTAGTTTTTTAAGTCCAAAACGTAACAAAACTGAAAAAATGTCGCCGAAACACTGCAAACTTTAAGTCCAAAGCAAAACTATGACATCAAATATGATTTCATTTTTTGCCACCATGAAACATGAGTGTATGCTTTCACTTGCTGTTTAAAAAAAACAGGTATTCGAAATGGTTTAACGAAATCACTGCATCAAGGTGAGTGAGTGAGCGGTTGTAACAGCGCTGTTTATTGTTGTTCCACTGTCTTATTACACTATTACAGCGACCAGTCCTTGTTTTATTCAATCCTTGTTTTATTCCCTCGATAGCAAGCGCCAGGTAGGGTAACAACAAGTACCATCTTTTAACGTCTTTTGGTATAACGCGACGATGGATCGAACACCGTACCTTCCTCTTTCCGGGAAGACGCTCTTCCACTCGACTACGACCTTCGCGACGTTGCGCGCCCCCCTCACATCAAACATACACGCTGGTGTCCTCCCATTAGTTAGACACCTTAAAATAACAACCTTTCTGGTTGAGTGCACAACAAAGTGCAATGCTGTTACCTTGATTGATAATGGAATGACCCATAGCTAAACATCAAGATATAACAGAACAAAAAGACGTGTTAAGTCAGATGTACTAATTTTATAAACGTTCATCTCAGATTTGGTTGTTACATCAGATGTATATACACATATATTAAATTTAGTCATGATATGTACACAACGTCATACTCGGTTCGTCCTGTTGTCAGACTAAGGTCAACAGGATGAACCGAGTATGACGTTGTGTACATATCATGACTAAATTTAATATATGTGTATATACATATACGACCAACGGATCCTGGCACAAGTAAGGGAAACAACTCTGTATAATAGTCAGCAGCAGAGCACATACAACAGTGAATTGCAAATGGCCTCATCAATCAACATTTAGATGATCTGCAGTAAGTCGCTTATGAAATAAGGGAACGGCTGCCATATGTACATTTCAATTGCTATCAACATAACAGAGACGTCAATCATAACGCTATCAGTTTGGCTATGGAAAGTACACGTGCCCCGTCAATCACCATTAGCGTATGGCTGGGAAGACAATGAACCGCGTTCCAAGAATGACCTTTCCGTTTCGGGGGGGTGGGGGTGGGGGTGGGGGGGGGGAGGGGGGTAGTCAAACAAGGTGATGTTTACACGGCTAGGTGTTTCCACCAAATACCGCATTCCAATCAACAAACATATCGATTTTAATCAGACATTACAGCTATTCGAGGGAAAATGGGATTGTATAAAGTATAATATATTATATACTTAATTTGCGTATATGGCGAATATAAATGTATATAAAGCAGATTTCCTGATCGTAATTGGATAAACGTTAGTTCGAAAAAGACTTTCATAACCAACAAGGGCATGTTTATAATTAACTAATTGTAACGAGGGTGGAGGATCTCGGGGTCTGTGAATGTTTTTCAATGGAGGAGCTAAACATCTTATTTCTCAACACATTTTCTCAGAATGTCAGGCACATCCAGTGAACAATAGTTTCATTGTTAAATTTCGCTTTTTACGAAAATACATAAATAATAATAAGTCGTGTATTATCAATTCATTCATTTAAAGTAAAATTATTATTTGTCTATGTAGCCACCCCATTATCGCGATTTAATCATGTCACCGTATACATAGCTACATTATTTATTGTTTGTTGTTTGACGCCGTAATCAGCAATGTTCCCGCTGCATGTATCCAAGTCAGCAAGCCTGACCACCCGATCCCGTTAGTCGCCTCTTACGACAAGCATGGCTCCTGAGAACCAATTCTAACAAAGATCTTCAGGGGGCATAGCTGCATTAAATGCTAAGAGATCGACTTATAAAGTCCATGTAACGTTCAGGGATTAACATAGCCAAGCTCGAAAATAAAACAAGTACGGAAGGGGTGTTATTGCCAGCATTATCACCAATCGTTTCCAAATATTACTGGAACAAATATGAAATAGATATATTGATTAGTATATGATTATATAATCTCTCAATGATATCGACTCACTGCGACAACCTGGCTCCTGTACCGAATACTCTGCAGTTGCACTAAACAACAACAGAGATAGACGGCGCCCTTGTAGGACTGCCACGAACAACTTGATTAAACTGCGAAGCGCACCTCGAAAACACAATTGTTTGTCGGCACGAGAACGGTTGATGGAACGGATTGCAATGATCAATTGGAGTCGGGGCGATCGCTCATCTGACAACTTCAACTCAACAGATAAAAGAACTTCATGTTCAATACGCCACCCATTTTGTTAATCACCAGTCCCGATCGAACACTAACGACAACTTGGTCGCATTTCATTTCCCCAACACAACAGGTGAAAATGTGAGTGTATGCACGATGCAAATAACTTTGCATTCTTTGCCCCGCGTTGAGCGTTCGGTTTTGGTTTGGATGTAGATGGCGGTAACTTGGGGTTATTGCGTAAGGCTTTTGTGAGCGACTGGTGCTTGTCAATGGATTTGACCAAGTAGAACGGTAAATAGGTATTTAATTATAGGCTACACAGGTAAGTAATTGTGGCATGGCACATTGGCACGCTGGAATATGGCACCGAGAAGATTCCTTGTGATTGAATTTGTTGGGATGTTTTAAGTTTAAGAGCTAGGGTGCGGCACTAACAAGAGCCAGCGCATGTAAATAATTAAACCAGTTTTAAATGCATATTTCCGGTTTGAGATACGTGCGGATATTGTGGGCAAGTGTAGCAGAAAATGGCTGTCATAAGATGCGTCTTCAAAAAGTAAAACGTTGGTCTGTATACAAGCAGATCTAGAGAACAAAGGACGCTTTAGTTATATTAAGATACATAACAAAAGACCCTTTTGATCCACAAGTTGTGAAAAATGTATGAATAAATTGTGAATAATATAATCTATACTAAAT